TCACAATTTGAGTTGAATTACTGAAATAAATGAACTTTTCCACGACATTCTAATTTATTGAGATGCACCTGTATTTGTCCTTCTCTAGATTTCTCCCATCTGCATATATGATCATGGAGCTCAACTACAGTGACCATCATGTTCTTGGTCACCACTCTAACCAAGACCCTTTTCCATCAATTGCTCAGTTTGGCCAGGAGGCCAGCTCCAGGAAGAGTCCTGGTTGTTTCAAACTTCTTCCATTAAGGGTAACAGAGACTACATGCTTATGTGACCCTTCAATGAAGCAGATTTTATTTCTGAACTCTTCTCCAGATGTGTGGCTTGACACAGACCTGTTTCTGAGCTCTACAGGCAGTTCTTTTGACCTCAGGGCTTGGTTTTTGCTCTGATATGCATTATCAGCTGTTAGACCTTTTATTAAGATCCCAGACAGCAACATAGTGTTGGCCCAGCATTATGGTGTATGGAGTGTAGATTGATGTGGGAAAAAAGTAATTTAAAGCAGTTTAGCATAAGGCAGCAACTTAACAAAATGTGAAAAAAATGAAGGGGTATGAATATTTTCGCAAGGTACTGTATATTTATATGATTTTATTTTTCTTACCCCACTGGATTTTATTCTACTAAAGTTGTTTTACACATAAACCTCACAAAATTTTTGTTTCAATTTATGCTTAAAACAAGGAAAAGAAAAATGACTTAAGGACATGTAGTAGGGAAACATAATTTCTAAACATAAGTCCTAATATTAGCTTACACAGTTAAAATTTTTAAAGCACATTTATTTTGCACATTAATTATGTATAAATTTTTCTTGTTTATAATCTGTGACCCTGGACCACAAAACCAGTCATAAGGGACTGGAGATTTATGCATCATCTGAAAGCTGAATAAATAAGATTTCCATTGATATATGGTTTGTTAGGATAGGACAATATTTGGCCGAGATACAAGTATTTGAAAATCTGGAATCTGAGGGTGCAAAAAAAATCGAATTATTGAGAAAATCGCCTTTAAAGTTGTCCAAATGAAGTTCTTAGCAATGCATATTACTAATCAAAAATTAAGTTTTAATATATTTACATTAGGAAATTTACTAAATATTTTCATGGAACATGATCTTTACTTAATATCCTAATGATTTTTGGCATAAAAGAAAAATCGATAATTTTGACCCATACAATGTTTTTTTGGTTATTGCTACAAATATACCCCAGAGACTCAAGACTGGTTTTGTGGTCCAGGGTCACATTTTAAATGCGAATCAGTTAGGAAAACTGTTATTGTTTGTTTAATGTCACCTTTTCCATACAAAAGTGAAGCGATCATAGAGAGAGAAAGAGAGAGAGAGAGGGAGAGAGAGAGAGAGAGAATCCATGAAAATATGAGACTTGAAAATTTTCAGGTTGACTAACAGACACTCTGAAAGTTTAAAGTTTTATGTAGCAGTTGCAAATATCTGTCTGTCATGAACGACTAGATGCATGGATTATTTCTTTTTTAACTGTTGGAACTGCTGCAATGGTTTTGATATTTACATACTTTTGAATGTGTTCACATAGCTGTTGATAGTTTATTGAAGTGAAAGCAAGAATAACAATAAAACTGAAATTAGGCTTCACTTTCAAATTTCAAGCACTGATGTTGGTTTTGTTAACTCATTTTACTAAAAGGAACTTGACTGCATCTTGCAATACTTTCAAACCCCTTGTGAGATTGTTTCATTAATTCAATAAAAAAGAATCACACACCAGGTCTTGAATGTTTCTGCATCATGTTCATGCAGAGATTCCCTGCAGCAACATGTGGTGTTTAATTCACTTGCAGGAATCAAGCAGAATTACATAGAGCAGAATTTTACATCTGAAAACAGATTTACCAGGGTTACAGCTGTTCTCTTGTGTCATTGACATTATATCTTAATGTCCTTTCAGCCTCTGTCTTCAGCCTTCATGCTTCACGTCTAGCATGTGCAGTAGTATCCTGAGATGGAATCGTTCCAGTCTCCAAACAGGCCTTTCTGCACCTCCTTAAGGTGGTACACGATGCCAGCAGAAAACTTCTTCTTATATCCTTGCTTCTTGGATTTAGACCACACTGTCAGGGAGCAGCCTCGGCCCACCACAAGAGAAGAAATCCGGTTATTCCAAGCCCATGACATGATGGGGGTGTCTTCATCGGGATAAACGTACAGGAATTTGCCAGTACAGCTTTCATCATAGTAGTAGCTGCTGTGCTCAAACATCTGGGCGCAGAGCTTGCTTCCATAATCATCTTTCAGCGTGGCTGGGTCGGGACACTCTGCATTGAGTCCCTCAAAGCACAGAGCCGCCAGGAGAAGAGCGATGACCCCCTTCATGTTTTCAGCGTGTTGAGTGAAAAGAGATCTTTTGCCCTGACCTATATACATGGAGTTTCTCCATATGAATGACGTGTGTGAGAAACTTCAGATTGTCCAACAGAATCTGTGAAGGTCATCATGCAGATTTTACACAAAATTATTTCACACACAGGTAAAAAAAAAATGCAAAATGTGTATTCACATGTATTCATGTAAATATATTAAATCTATATTAGCGCAAATATTTTTGCTCATATTTAAAAAATGTATCTGAAAAGATGTGGGTTATATAAAATGGGTTATCAGTAATTCAATTGGACATAACATACAAATTATTACATTTCTTAGACTTTCTGTATGTTGTTTATTGTCTTTTTAATCAGTTTTAGTGAACCGAGAATGTAATTTTAACAAAAACAAACAAACATCACAGATGTTCACAAACCACAAGGCCATGTCTGAATGTGCGGACACGTGAATGTAACAACATGTGGAAACCAGCCATATGCTGTCACTTTCTGTCAATAACATAATTTAGAACAGTAGAAATCTGCATGTTATTGAATATTTGGGATTTTTTTAAGTTTTGAAAATGTATATATCTGCAACAGTTAAAACGAAGCATTTCGTTGATAACAAGATCGGGACATTTGACTGTGCATAAATTATCACTATATAATGTGAGCTCCTGTAAATAAAATGTTTAATAATGAGATCTAACACTATATCATAATCGTGGCTGAAAAAAAAACAAAAACAAAAACAAATATCTAATGTGTTAGCATGATTTTAAAAGGTTAAGTTCAAATCTGGATGCATTGCACTATCAAATTTAAAATGATTGTGTAGGTTATTACTCCATAAAATTACATACATTTTGTCACATACATTATTAGTCATATTGCCACATGGATGTTAATGTGATTAGTTTAGTTGATTATATGTCACTAATGTTGCATTCAAAAGAATCAAGAAAGAGAAAATAAGCAAACTAGTTTCTGAATTTTTATGCATAATGTGCTTACAGAGATAAAATAATGCTTGTATACTGACTACACTGAACATTGATCTGAAAACCGTTCTCTTTACTTAATAAGATATAATGTCTTTTGAATTGTTCCAATCTGCAAACAAGTTTTCTTCATTTGGTGGTAATCAATGTCAAAGGAAAACTTCTCTGATCCCTCCACACCCACAAAGAACAGAACAGCAAGCAGATAAGCATCATGTTGAGTGAACCTGGCACAGAGCTAAAACAAACTTACTGAGAAGCCTCTGGTTTACTGACAGATGCTCTGAAGGTTGAGAATTCAAACAGCTTTGGCCTTAAGATAGCTAATTTACTCTAATGTAATCTAACTTAATATTGTTTCAGATCAAAACAGGCTCTTGTCTGTCATTATAGTGCTGTTTTACTGTAAACTGTTCATTCATTTTCATTCAAATTACTACTATTATTGTAATTGACACCTGACACCATATTTCACACAATTTTATATTCAGTGATGAAAAACTATAGACCACTTGATGCATTGTGTTCATTCTGTAACATTTTGGTATAAACTAGTCTACAGAAAATTATTCAATAAAACATTGTTAGTGTTCTTGACCTATTTCATCAAGAATAATAAGCAATTTTGTTAAATTATTCTTACATTAATATTAATATTCTTTTCTTATTTTTGTTTTATAATGTTTAAAAACATGGTTTTATGAATAAAAAGGTAATTTGCACAGCATGTCAGGCACAGTCAGGCTGTGTGATTTGGTTTGGGGAGTACGGATCTCCACAGCTCCGCAGCTTTTATTTGTGCATATAGGCACAGATCTTGTTGCGATCGGTATCTACAACAGAATCTACTTGTTTTTGGGTCGGCCATTGTGTATTCAGAGCAGCTATAAAGCCATTATCATCTTCATGTTTTCAGTCTCTTTAGGGATCATTGTCCTGCATTTGAATGCAGACAATCTGATCCATTTTTCAGTGTGAGAAACTTTAGACTGGCCAACAGATGCTCTGAAGGTTACTTTCAACAAACCTAAAAGCAAGTCAGTATTTTGTTCATTCGTGCGTTCATTCATTCACAAATAGATAGATAGATAGATAGATAGATAGACAGATAGATAGATAGATAGATAGATAGATAAATAGATAGATAGATAGATAGATAGATAGATAGACAGATAGATAGATAGATAGATAGATAGATAAATAGATAGATAGATAGATAGATAGATAGATAGACAGATAAATAGATAGATAGTATGTCTTTTGCAATAGGCTTTTTGCACATAATCTATCCAGTCATTGTGTTAATTCTGTAACATTTTGGTGTAAAATAGCCTGCAGAAATGTTTTAATCTAAAATATTGTTAGTGTTCCTTTAACCTATTTTCTTAATAAGGAATATAAACTATCATTTTATTAGCTAATTTTATTATTAGTTTTTTCTTTTTCCATTCCAGTTTGTTACGTACCAGTGTTATTTCTTTCTTTCTTTCTTTCTTTCTTTCTTTGAATTAAAAAAGTCACGGGTCGGGCTCCCGTTGCCGGAAGTGGCGTCATTTCAGATCTGTTTAGTTCCTGTCTTGGCGGGAATACGCGCTGCTCACAGGCAAGTAGGCAACATGGATGTTGAAATGAAAGAGGCAGACAGTGAACTAAGTCAAGCCGACGGACCGCCTAAAAAGGATGATACTGCACCAAAACCCTCAACGAATGCTTATGAACTACCATGGTACTGTTTGTGACTGTTTGTAAGCGCGCTATCGTGGTTTTTGAATCACTTTAATGTCGCTAAAGATAGCGAGCCTGTAGCTATGTTTACAGCAATTGAACGGCCAAGCTCGCGTTCCTCTGCAGCTGCATATTTGCTCTGATGAATAATTGTGTCATTATTACTGACAGGGTTGAAAAATACAGACCTCTGAAGCTGAATGAAATAGTTGGAAATGAGGAAACTGTCAGCAGACTGGAGGTCGGTATGACATACAGTACAGTACATACTGATTTGCCTGATGTGGTCAGTATGACATGTTTTCTCTTTTGCCCTGTTATTGTCGAAGGTGTTTGCACGAGAAGGAAATGTGCCCAACATCATCATTGCTGTAAGTTAAAATATGGTTTCACAATCACGTGCCATCTGAATTTACTAATGATATGTCACTATGCACTAAAATGAAGATAACGTTTGTTTTTAGGGTCCTCCTGGCACTGGAAAAACGACCAGCATTTTGTGTTTGGCTCGAGCTCTTCTTGGTCCAGCTATGAAAGATGCTGTGCTTGAGTTGAATGCCTCAAATGACCGGTAAGAAACTTAAGCTGAGTGTTTTCAAACAAGTTTTCTGTACATCCAATATTTTGGATGATCATATTCTTATTCTGATGTCTGTTAATTAATGTTTAATTGTCTATTATCAATTTTAGAGGAATTGATGTTGTGAGAAACAAAATCAAAATGTTTGCCCAGCAAAAGGTCACACTCCCTAAAGGTCGCCACAAGATCATAATCTTGGATGAGGCTGACAGGTAAGAGTAATCATTTTCTTGAAAATATTTGTAATGAAAATATTTAGGTTTCATTCAATTCAATAAATAGTTATTTAAAAATACATGTAGAAATGTATACATTTTAAAGATTGAAAAAATGCTTCATGCTGCTATGTTTTTGTATTTCTAAAACAGCATGACCGATGGAGCCCAGCAGGCTCTCAGAAGAACCATGGAGATCTACTCCAAAACCACACGCTTTGCTCTGGCATGTAATGCATCAGATAAGATCATAGGTGAGCGACGTGGCACATAAAACTAGGGTGACCATATATTAGTTTTCCAAAAAGAGGACAGTGGATGCGGGCGGGGAGGGTGGCTGTGGTGTAGTTGGTTGGTGGTTAAAGTAGTGCCTGGCCCCAGAGTAGTGCCCAACGTAGTGCAATGGCCATCCCAAATATCAAAACTCAAAATATGTCATTTCCATACCTAAAATACATATTTTACAGTCACTGTTATGCATATTTATCATAAACACAGCTAAAAAGCTTCCTACCAGTGGCCCTCCTTCATTATTATTATTATTATTAAAGGGGTCCTATTATGCTCTTTTGCAAAGTCTTGATTTTGTTTTGGGGGTGTACTAGAACAGACTCTCATAACTAGGTTGTTCGAAAAACACATTATTTTTCACATATTTTACATTATTACAACACCTCTCTCCCCAGTCTGGCATGAACGGCTCGAATAGTTCCTGTATCAAATGAAGGCCCGCCTTCTGAAATATGAAATGTGCTGTGATTGGTTAGCTGGGCCAGTGTGTGTTGTGATTG